CTGAGCCTGTGGTCCCATGCAGCCTTAGCTCCTCCTCCAGCACAGACACTGAGCCTGTGGTCCCATGCAGCCTGGACCCCTCCTCCAGCCCAGACACTGAGCCTGTGGTCCCATGCAGCCTTGACCCCTCCTCCAGCACAGACACTGAGCCTGTGGTCCCATGCAGCCTGGACCCCTCCTCAAGCACAGACCCAGAGCCTGTGGGCCCATGCAGCCATAGCTCCTCCTCCAGCACAGACACTGAGCCTGTGGTCCCATGCAGCCTTAGCTCCTCCAGCCCAGACACTGAGCCTGTGGTCCCATGCAGCCTGGACCCCTCCTCCAGCACAGACCCTGAGCCTGTGGGCCCATGCAGCCTGGACCCCTCCTCCAGCCCAGACCCTGAGCCTGTGGGCCCATGCAGCCTGGACCCCTCCTCCAGCCCAGACCCTGAGCCTGTGGTCCCATGCAGCCTGGACCCCTCCTCCAGCCCAGACCCTGAGCCTGTGGGCCCATGCAGCCTGGACCCCTCCTCCAGCACAGACACTGAGCCTGTGGGCCCATGCAGCCTGGACCCCTCCTCCAGCACAGACCCTGAGCCTGTGGGCCCATGCAGCCTGGACCCCTCCTCCAGCACAGACCCTGAGCCTGTGGGCCCATGCAGCCTGGACCCCTCCTCCAGCCCAGACACGCTTCATCCCAGGATCCTCAGCTTGAAGACAGCCTGTCCTAGCATTGCCCAGCCTTCGTGGCTATGTGAGTCAAAATTTATTCTTAGAAACACGCAAATCCAAAGCATGTCTTTTTTCATTTTTGGCCAATCAGTCTTGGAGCTTGAACGTAGGGCCTGGGTGCAGTAGCTGGACTTTTTTTGCTCAAGGCTAGTATCCTACCACTTGAGCCCCAACCCCACTTTTGGCTATGAGGTTGTTAACTGGAGACAAGAGTCTCAGGAACTCTTCTGTCTGGACTGGCTTTGAATCAGAATCCTCATATCTCAGCCTCCTGAGTGGCTAGGCTTATAGGTGTGAGCCAGCTTGCCCAGCTTACGTCATTTTTACTCGCATACTGGAACCTAGCATTCGCTGGCATGCGTGGTCTCACTCCAGGTGCTTCTCCAGGAAGTGCCCTCTCCCTCCCCGCTGTGCTAGAGGCATAGGGTTCCCTTTGTTTCTGTGGGTGATGCACTTCCTGTTAACCTTCTCGCGCCCTCACGCTCACTCAGCTGATCTCTTGTGTGCCTGGCTTGAGGAGCTGCCCCCTCCCTCTCCCGGAACGCACTCCCTGCTCCGTGGTCCTCGCTCTCAGCCCCCTCCGGCTCTGTCCCTCACCCTGCCCAGCCTGCCTTGCACATTTAGGCAGTGTGTGTGTGTTTTATTGTTTCCAAGTCCTTACTGCAAAGAACTGGAGTCAAGATGACTTCCAGAAAGTACCTTACGTAAGCCACTTTCTGTTTCTTACTGTTAGGCAATTTATGTCTCTCCTAGGAATATTACCCCAAAATCCATCCTTATTAATGGGTCCTTTCTGACGAGTCACAGCTTAAACATTATTTTAGCACAATTTTATGGTGATTATTATCTGCTACAGTTTTATGTAGTTTAATTATTAACTTATTGATTGTGTCTTGAGGCCTTTTAAAAAAAGGATGCAATTTGAATAACGCTGTGGTGAAGCCATTCAATCTGTTTACAACCGTCTTATGTCTTATTCCAACCAGCAGTAGCTCCTTTCTCTGGATAACAGGGCATGCACTTTTGTGTAAATATTGTTTTGAAAGCCGTCTTTTGCTCTGATTAGATTTTCTGATCCAAGGTCATTCATAGAATCTTGTGTATTTTAAGGACAGTTTTTATCTACGTGATAGTATGTATGAATTTGTTACCTAGGAAAAAGGAGGAGAATGCAAGAAGGGGGTAGGATGGAAGGGAGGGAGCAGACAAGTGAAGAGGGGAAGGGGAGGAAGGCAGTCAGGAAGCCCCTGGATGTGCCACAGAATTAGGAAGAGTAAGGGAAGGGGGTAAGAATGTTGAGAATGGTGATCAAGATGCACTGCACTCATAAACTTGTGTTACATGGCAGCTCCTTTGTACAACTACTTAGAGACAACAAAAATCTTCTGGGACGGGAGAATTCCTGCAGTCAGATGTGAGCACTGTGAGCACTCGGGATGGACAGGTTTGGTGAACTGCCCCGGTGAGGGCTGAGAGCCTTTCATAGGAATGTTTCCCATGAGCCCAGCCCCTGTCGGCCCTTTCCTGAGCACCAGTGTGCCAAAGCATTCCCCTCAGCACCCCAGTAGGCCCCAAGACTTAGTGTCTAAATAGCAGTGATGGTGTGAAGAACTGTGTTCTCCCTACCACCCCTCTGCCTTAGACGGAGGCTCAGCACCTGGTCTTTCTGCGGGTACTCAGGGTGCTCAGAACATGATCTTGCTGTGAACACTCAGCGTGCTCAGAACACGGTCTTTCTGCATGCACTCAGCGTGCTCAGAACACGGTCTTGCTGTGAACACTCAGCGTGCTCAGAACACGGTCTTTCTGTGGGCACTCAGGGTGCTCAGAACACGGTCTTGCTGTGAACACTCAGCGTGCTCAGAACACGGTCTTTCTGCATGCACTCAGCGTGCTCAGAACATGGTCTTGCTGTGAACACTCAGCGTGCTCAGAACACGGTCTTTCTGCATGCACTCAGCGTGCTCAGAACACGGTCTTGCTGTGAACACTTAGCATGCTCAGAACACGGTCTTTCTGCATGCACTCAGCATGCTCAGAACACGGTCTTTCTGCAGGGACTCAGCGTGCTCAGAACATGGTCTTTCTGCATGCACTCAGCATGCTCAGAACATGGTCTTTCTGCATGCACTCAGCATGCTCAGAACATGGTCTTTCTGCATGCACTCAGCATGCTCAGAACACGGTCTTTCTGCAGGGACTCAGCGTGCTCAGAACATGGTCTTTCTGCATGCACTCAGCATGCTCAGAACATGGTCTTTCTGCATGCACTCAGCATGCTCAGAACATGGTCTTTCTTCATGGACTCAGTGTGCTCAGAACACGGTCTTGCTGTGAACACTCAGTGTGCTCAGAACATGGTCTTGCTGTGGGCAC